TAGCACTCTACCACTTGAGCCACAGTGCCACTTCCGGCTTTTTTCTTTTTGCTTATGTGGTGCTGAGGAATCGAACCCAGGGCCTCATGTATGCAAGGCAAGCACTCTACCACTGAGCCACCTTCCCAGTCCTGGCTAGGCTTTTTAAGAACTGGGCACAGGTGGGATCATGTACAGTTGAACACTGTCATGGGCCCGATTAGATATGGACCCTGATGGCATCTTTCTGAAGAGGCAGCTGGCCCAGAGGCTAAGGGCCTCCCCCCACACTTGTGTTGCGCCTTCTGCATGCAGTTCTGGCCCAGGCTCTGGAGCATTTCTCATCTAGGTTAGGTCAGAGGTAGTGGACTGTCTTGCCAGCTGTTTCTTCTCCCTGAGCTCAAACTTTATAGAGCCCTTAAAGTGTTCCTTCTGCATTGGTCTCAGCACATTGCAGCTGCTTTTGTCCAGCTGAAAAGCCTAAATGCTTTGCTTTTGTTGTTGTTTTTGTTTTCCCTTGGCACTGTGGAGGGAGCCCAGAGCCTTTGATGTGTTGGAAAAGCATTCTACCACTGAACCACATTTCCAGCCTTGATGTGCTCTATTTTAAATCTAGATGAGGACGGGGACTTGGTTGCCTTTTCCAGTGATGAGGAACTGACAATGGCCTTGTCCTATGTGAAGGATGACATCTTCCGCATCTACATTAAAGGTAAGGGCTTGCTCTGCAGTGTTGCTGAGTAAAGCCAAGGTTTAACTTCTCTCCAAAATGGTGCCCGGAACCAGAGGGTTGTCTGACCAGGGACATCATAAATGCTGTATCTGGCCTGAGGAATACTGTATCTTCTTTGAGGGAGTGGGATCTGGTACCTGGAGCTGGGGGCAGGTGAGGATTTTGGTGAGGACCAAGGTCAAAGGTAGACAAGGGTTCCTTTGTTCTGCTGCTGTGAAACACATGCCTGGTATCCTGTAGCGGTTTCTCCAGTTGCTAGATAGCTGAATTCCAAGTGTATTCTGTCTGGAGAGAGAGGCTGTGAGCCTTTGCTGATTAGGACAGTCTTGCGGTGACAGAGTGGAGGGATGACCTCGAAGCCTCACCCTGGTGATTTTCTTTACTCTCTGCAGAGAAAAAGGAGTGCCGACGGGACCACCGCCCCCCCTGTGTTCAGGAGGCTCCCCGAAGCTCAGTGCACCCTAACGTGATCTGTGATGGTTGCAATGGGCCTGTGTTGGGAACTCGCTACAAGTGTACTGTATGCCCAGACTATGACCTGTGTAGTGTCTGTGAGGGGAAGGGCTTGCACAGGGAGCACAGCAAGCTCGTGTTCCCCAGCCCCTTTGGGCACCACTCTGAGGTGAGCAGACCTGCTGTGGTCTCGGGGTGGACACAGGGTGGCAGGAACCTGTGACTCTGGCCCTCATTGCCCTTACCCCTCTGCTTACCCCTCACAGGGATTCTCCCACAGTCGCTGGCTCCGGAAGCTGAAGCATGGGCATTTTGGGTGGCCAGGCTGGGAGATGGGCCCACCAGGGAACTGGAGCCCACGTCCTCCTCGAGCTGGAGATGCCCGCCCCAACCCCACGGTGGAATCAGGTGAGGATTGCTTCTGAACTGGCTTAAGATAGACAGTGGGCTATGCAAAGACAGGCAGAGCTGCCGGGCCCTGAGCCAAAAGCTGTCTGTCCTGAATGCCTGCCAACGCCCATACCTGCATGGATTATTTGTTTGATTTTGGGTAAATAGCATTTCTAGGATAGATATTATCAGTATTTATGTTCAGTGTGCATTGAGTCTCTCTAGGTTAAGAAGACAAGAGTAGCCCAGAAGCCCGTAGCTCATGCTTGCCATTCTAGCTACTTAGGAGGCTCAAAGATTGCAATTTGAAACCGGCCCTGGCAGGAAAGTCTGTGAGACTCTTATCTCCAACTAACCACACATGGTAATGTAATAGCCTTGAACAAAAAAGCTCAGGGATAGCGCCTAGGCCTTGAGTTCAAGCCCAAGTCCCAGTACTGGCACAAAAATAAATTAGCCCAGAATGTGGTCCGTTGGAGGATGAGGGCACGTGTTGGGAGGCAGAGAGAAGAATGGGTGGGTATGAGCCTATGAGACAGAGTGTCCCAGGGTGGTTGGGATCTCCAGCAGGAAAAATGCTAGGACAGAGGCACTGAATTAAACTGGGCATGTTAGTTTATACAATGGTATTGCATTCTGTTGCAAGTCCAGGGCAGGAAAATTGAGTTTCAGGTCAAATTAGGCTACATAGTAAGATCCTGTTGCAAAAAAAAAAAACAAAAACTGCTAAATTAAAGATATCTTTTGTTTGTAAAAAATCAAAAGCTTCTGGTCCATCAGAGGATCCCAGTGTGGATTTCCTGAAGAACATAGGGGAGAGTGTGGCAGCTGCCCTCAGCCCTCTGGGTAAGTGAGCTGTTTTGTCTTTGAGGTCTTAGTTTGGTGACTGCATGTGGCCTTTTGTCACCTTTATCTGGGGTGTTGCAGGGAAAATAGGCAACTAATGTGCTCTTGACACTGCAAGGTTTTGTATAAAACCTATGTTTACCAAGTGCTGGGCCATGGGTATCTGAGGTCAGGTTCCCTGCTAAACTCCTGAGCTTTCTATGTAAAAGAAGTGGCATCAAGGAGCAAGCTTCTCAGTAGAAAGGGCCACTAGACTGGCTGAAGGGCTGGCTTGTCACCACCTTAAAGGAACAACAGCCGGGTGCTGGTGGTTCACGCCTGTAATCCTAGCTACTGAGGAGGCTGAGATCTGAGGATCACGGTTCAAAGCCAGCCCGGGCAAGAAACTCCGTGAAACTCTTATCTCCAATAAACCACTAAAAACTGGAAGTGGCGCTGTGGCTCAAACGGTAGAACTCTTGCCTTGAACTGAAGAGCGCAGGGACAGTGCCTAGGCCCAGAGTTCAAGCCCCACGACCGACAAAAAACAACAACAAAACAACAGTCTGCCTTTCCACCTAAGCCCAGCCTTGGCATTTGCACTTGAGCACTTGAAAAGCCATTTTATTTTTTCTTCCTTTTTGTTATGCTCCAGACCTTGTCTGGCTGCTTCCTGAGTGCTGCCAGCTGGGGGGGAAAGGAGTGATGGAAGCAGGTGACCCTCTGCTCTATACTCTAGATAACACTGGTCCTGTGCTACAGGGCACAGCGTAGATGTGTTGGTGAGTGAGCAAATGTGTCCTTCCCAGATTGCAGCGACCTGACTCCAGGCACAGGCTTTAGGAAGTGCCTGCGCATCCTGAGCAGGGCAGTGGATGCTGCAGGGCTAGGCGTGGTGGTAGAGGGGACTGTGGGGATCTGGATGGCACCACACATCCCTGCAATGTCAGGGGGGATCTCGTCAGCATGGGTAGAGGTTTGGTTTAGTGTCTGAAAGAAAACTGATAGAAGAGGCTGGAGGAGGAGGGCCAGGGAAAAGACTGCGGAAGTGGACGAGATAATGGAAAATGAGAGGTGAAGACTGGGACAGGGAAAAGGAGAGAATGAAGGTGGGGGGACAGAGAAAAGAATGAACTTGAGCCAGAGCAGCAGGGGTTGAAAAAGGGCTGCATTGTCTCTGGGGAATGGGATGGTGTGTGGCCAAAGGAGAGTTTTCACTAACTTTAGCAAAGGAGCAGTTTGACTCTAAATTGTGGGCAGTAATCTTTGTATTTAATCTGCCCTGATATCTCCAATGGGCATGTGCTGTCCTGGGCTGTCCTTGTGTACTGTACATCTAGCTTCCAGTTTGCTTGTCTGCCTGAGCCTAGTTCGTAATGTGGGCATTTGTTGTATCATGAGGCCCTGTATGAGCAAGCAGGGCATCACGTAGGCTTCAGCACGGGCTGGAGTGTTCAGCTACTTGTATTGGCCCTCACCCTGTTCCAAGGCCTGGACAGGAGAAACAAGCTCTCTGGACTTTTGGCTTAAAGCTGACCTTGGGTATTATCTGAAGTTAATGTTTAATGTTTTATCAAATTGGATGAGGAAAGGTCCAGTGTGATGCACACATCAGAATTTTTAGAAGTCAAGAGGATTTTGGGGCAAGGGTGGTGAAGGGCAGTTTGTCCCTGGGGATCTTGAAAATGGAAACAGACTTTTGTTTCTGGCTCATGGGGTTGCATCTCTGTGTGGTTCTGAGCATGCTAAGTGCCAGTGTCCTGCGCTTCATGCTGATGGGACTAAGTGTAAGTGCTCCCTACACCACAGTCCTCAGTTTTTTGTCAGTCATGAGGCTCCAACTCAGGGCCTGGGTACTGTCCCTGAGCTTTTGTGCTTAAGGCTAGTACTCTACAATTTGAGCCACAGAGCTACTTCTGTGATTTAATTGGAGATGAGTCTTACAGACTTTCCCACCTGGGCGGGATCCTCAGATCTCAGTCTCTTGAGATTACAGGCATCAGTCACTAACACCAGACCCCAGACTCACCTCCCCCCCTGCCCCCTGCCCCCAGTCATGGGGCTTGAACTCTGGGCCTGAATACTGTCCCTCAACTCTTCAGCTCAAGGCTAACACTCTACCACTTGAGCCACTGTGCCCATTTGTGGTTTCCTGAGTGGTTTATTGGAGATAAGAGTCTCACAGCCTTTCCTGCTCAGGCTGGCTTTGAACTACAATCCTCAGATCTCAGCCTCTTGAGTAGCTAGAATTACAGGCATGAGCCACTGGCACCCAGCCAAACTTTTTTTTTTAGATCTAAACTGCAGGTAAGTGCTCTGGGCTAAAGGGCCTTTGTTTATTGCTTGGTTCTAGGCATCGAAGTTGATATTGATGTGGAGCATGGTGGGAAGAGAAGCCGCCTGACTCCTGTCTCCCCAGAAAGTTCCAGCACAGAAGACAAATGTAGTTCTCAGCCAAGCAGCTGCTCTTCTGAAGTCGGAAAACAGGCTGGAAATGGTGAAGGCACTGCCCAGTCTCTGACAGAACAAATGAACAAGATTGCCCTGGAGTCTGTGGGGCAGCCCGAGGTAGGCCTGTTCTTCCTGCCAGCTGAAACTAGCTCACCTGGCACCTAGGCAGCCCTAGGCATTCCGTCCACTCAGTGTGTGCCTGTGACACTTAAGTTCTCCATTTAACTCTGGACCTGCTCGAATCTTTTTGTACTTTGCAAGACTCACTGCGTTGCTGCCTATAACTTTTGCTGGTCTTCAGGATTCTTTCCCTCCCTTTCCCCCTCCCCGCAGTTGCCCATTTCTTTTTGGAGAACTGGCAGTGTGGTCCGCCTTGTCAGTTGCCCATGGTCCATGTGTATTCAAAGTCTTGTTTCCTCTAGGAACAGATGGAGTCTGATAACTGCTCAGGAGGAGATGATGACTGGACTCATTTGTCTTCTAAAGAAGTGGATCCATCTACAGGAGAACTCCAGTCTCTACAGATGCCAGAATCAGAAGGGCCCAGCTCTCTTGATCCTTCCCAGGAGGGACCTACAGGACTGAAGGAGGCCGCTTTATACCCACACCTTCCACCAGGCAAGTGGTGGGAGGATTCCGTCCCCTTCTCATGTTAGCAGCACAGACCAAAGGATGAACTGGCCTCTTCTATAGGACTTGTCATTTAGTCATTCAGGCATTGGGGCTTGAACTCAAGGGACTCAGGCTTGCTAAGCTTTTTCACCCAGGGTTGGCACCTTACCACTTCAACCACACCTCTACTTGGCAGCTTTTTGATATTCAGTGGAGATTAGCATGGACTTTCCTGTCCACTCTTTCAACCTTGATCATTAGATCTCAGCTTTCAGAGTAGCTAGGATTGTAGGCATAGTTCAGCAGCACCTGACGGGGCTTGTCTATTTTTTTTTCTTTCCTTTTTTTTTTTTTAAATTGTGGAAATACTGTACAGAGGGGTTACAATTACATGGGCAAGATAATGAGTACATTTTTTTTTTTTTTTTTTTTTGGGTCCGGTCGTGGGGCCTGAACTCTGGGCCTGGGCGCTGTCCCTCAGCTCTTCAGCTCAAGGCTAGTGCTCTACCACTTGAGCCACAGCGCCACTTCCGGCTTTTTTCTTTTTGCTTATGTGGTGCTGAGGAATCTAACCCAGGGCCTCAGGCATGCAAGGCAAGTGCTCTACCACTGAGCCACCTTCCCAGCCCATGAGTACATTTCTTATCAAGCATTGTAGCCTCCTCCTTTGTTTCCCCTTCCCATCCTCCCCCCCAATCTTCCCCCCACCCCCACCCCCGCACCAAAGTTGTAAAGTTTGTTTTCAACATAACGACTTGTACATCTCATTGTTGCAATGGGTCCACCTGTATCCCTATTTAAACGATGTTTTTCCCCTTCCTCTCCACAAATTATACCAACATCAAATACAGTGAAAGGGGTTATACCGTGGGGGAGGGACATACAAAACAACGAAGAAATGCATGAAAGAAAAAAAAAAACATTTGAATACATAGCTTAGGGTTCATTTCCCTAACATCAAGGGGCTTGTCTATTGATGAGAGAAAACTGGTAGTGTGGCTTGGTGGTAGAGCTCCTGCGTAGCTAGTACCACGACAGAAACAACTATTTCAGTGTTTGCTAAAGCTCAACACCCAGACTAAGAAGGCAGCAGTGGGTGTGGCCTCCTTTCTACTACTAAAGAGAGGTCTCAGACCATGAGCACGTCCTCCTACTGTTGACTTTATTGATAGCTGGTGTCACAGCCTAGATCCAGCACATGCAAAGTTCTTAGTGGAGAAGGCAGTAGGACAGGGCAGCCTTGAGTACATGAAGAGGTAGCTGGTACCCAGCTGTAGTGGTGTGTCTGTGTGTTGTGGCGCATGCTCGGCTTGAACTCAGGGCAGGGCCTAGGTGCTGTCCCTGAGCTCTTCAGCTCAAGGCTAGCGCTCTGCCACTTCAAGCCACAGTGCTACTTCCTGTTTTCAGGTGATTAATTGGAGATGAATCTTACAGACTTTCCTGCCTGGGCTGGCTTTTTATTGTGAAAATACTGTACAATTACATTCTCAAGATAATGGGTACATTTCTTATCAAGCATTGTAGCCTCCTCCTTTGTTTCCCCTTCCCATCCCTTCTCATCCCCCCCCCAACCCTCTGGGCTGGCTTTGAACTGTGCATGATCTTCATATTTCAGCCTCCTGAGTAGCTAGGATTACAGGCATGAGCCACCAATGCCCAGCAATTTCTGCATTTTTTATAGTTAATTGGAGATAAGGCAGTTTCTGAACCTCGATCCTCAGATCTCAGCCTCTTGAGTAGCTAGAATTACTAGTGTGAGCCCCTGACACCCAGCATAGCTGTAGTTTACTCTCAAGCACTGTTTAATGTCTAAGTGGATAACCTATCTTTGGGTCAATATATATATATTTGCCTTGGAGTACAGGGGACAAGTCAGTCTCTATAAATGTCCTCAGGTTCTTAAGGTTCTTACACTTGCAGGTGCTCTATCATTTACCCAGCCCTATTACTTACTTGATATAGTCTTATCAGCCAGGCTAGTCTTGAACTACATCGCCCAGGCTGCTTTCAGACTCTTAATTTTTATTTTTTTTTTGGTCCAGTCATGGGGCCTGAACTCTGGGCCTGGGCACTATCCCTCAGCTCTTCAGCTCAAGTCTACCACCTGAGCCACAGCCCCACTTCTGGATTTTTTTCTTTTTGCTTATGTGGTGCTGAGGAATCGAACCTAGGGCCTCAGGCATGCAAGGCAAGCGCTCTACCACTGAGCCACCTTCCCAGCCCGAGACTCTTTAATTTTTGTGCTTAGCAGTCTTCTTGCTGGGATTATAGGCCTGACCCTGCACATTGGCTTGTTTCTTACACTTTTGCGGGGTTGGGAAGTGAAACGGAATTTTAAAATAAACTTTAAGGGCTGGAGATGTAGCTTAATGGATAGAGCATTTGCCCCTGGGTTTGGTCTCCTTTAAAAAAAAAGTTGGAAAGAAGTCAGAATACATGTGACAATTAGATGATAGTCAATTCCAGTCTTGCTATGATATAGTCCAGGCTAGGCAGCTCTGCTGCTTTCACGTGAAGGTTTGAATTATAGGCCCACAAAACCATGCCCATCATTTGTTGGTTTTTTGGTGGCAATGTTGCCTAGGTTGGTCTTGAACTCCTGGGATCAAGTGATCTCTTTGCCTCACTCCTCCCAAGTGGCTATAGTCATAGGTGTGTGCTATCATATCTGGCAAAGTTTTATTAGAACCCAATTGCTCAGAAGTGTTACTGGCTGTCTTCATGCTATAATAGCAGAGATGGGTGGTGTGACAGCCTTTGGCAGCTTGCACAGCAAGCCTCAAAATGTTTAGGTAGCAGTTCAGAGGATAAGCTTGCCACGCCTGCCTCTGTGCATCCCTGTTAAGGCTAATGGGCTCTGGACAGGAAGCTCTGCCCTGAGTAACATATGGCTGTGACACTCCCCCCTCATGGCTTCTTGTATTGTTTTTGGCAGAGGCTGACCCCCGGCTGATTGAGTCACTTTCTCAGATGCTGTCCATGGGGTTCTCAGATGAAGGTGGCTGGCTCACCAGGCTTCTACAGACCAAGAATTTTGATATTGGAGCTGCTCTGGACACCATCCAATATTCGAAGCACCCACCGCCATTGTGACAGTTTGTGTCAAGACCCTACCATCCTGTGTACCTCTTTCTCTGTCTTATAGTTGTCTTGAGTTAGCATTGAGCAGCAGGGCCTTACCGATAATGGCTAGTTTCTCAGCATTCTTCCAGAATCTGTGGGGTGGGGATGCATGAAGCCATTTAGAGCAGTAGGAGGGGGCAGGAGGGGCAAGTTGCACATAATGCATGTGTACAAGGCATGCCGATGTCTGAGAATAGAACTAGCTCCAGAGCTTCCCTTCTGAGGCCTGGCTACATCCTCCCCGCTAGCATCACACCAGCAGTACCCAGTGTCCTGCCTAATGGCCACCTTTTCTGTTTTTAAAAGTAACAGTTGATTTTTCACAAATGATAATGCTCTAGAGAGCAAGCCCTGTGGTCATTGGGTTTCTCCTGAGGCTAGGCTCACAGTTGAGCCTTAACAGTGGTGTTTTGTGTGTGTGTGTGAGCGCGCGTGCCGCGCATCATGAGGCTTAAACTTGGCCTGAGCACTGTCCCTAGCTCTGTCAGTCAAGGCTAGTGCTCTCTCATTGAGCCCCACAGCTCCACTTCTAGCTTTTTGCTGGTTAATTGGAAATAATCTCAAGGGCTTTCTGCCCTGACTGGCTTTGAACCACAATCCCCAGATCTCAGCCTCCTGAGTAGCTTGGATTACAGGCGTGAGCCACCAGCACCTAGCTTAGGTTCTTTCTTGAGTGCTGCCATCACTCTACTTTTCCTGTCCAGACCTGTCAGCTGCTTTTAAAGTAAGAAATTCCTCTGTAGTTGTCTTGTTACCCAATTTTTAACCAATTAAAACTTAGGTTAAACACTTCAAGCAAGGTTGCGCGGTCCTTTACTGGTTGCAGTGAAAAATGTTTTAATAATTGTGGACTCAAGCTCTTGTTTCAGAATGTAGTCTAAAAATGAGAGAGGTAGTGATGACCGCAGTTCACAGGTCATCATCAAAGTCTTCCCCAGTTGTAAAGAGGTTGCATAGGCTCACTGATGGAGCCTTCTGTGTTTCTTGGGCCAAAGGCTTTGCCTGCACCCAAGGAGTTGTTGTGTCCCATGATCCCTCGAGGTTCTTCCTGATGGGCCTCTCTGGGCTGCATGTGGCCTGAGGAAGCTGGATGGTGGCAAGCGGCCAACTTGAGCAAACGTTCCCTGAGGTTTCAGTCTCAGGAGTCTCTTGCTCAGCATATGCTGGGCCAGCTGGACTGGGGCCCCTCAGGAGTGAGCTTGCTGGCTCTGTGTCCACATGTGAGCTGTTTCCAGGTGATGAGAGAAATCGTGCCCACTTAGAAGATGGAGCTTTACTGTAGGACGCAGGACCTGGTTTCCATTGAGGACCACCAAGCTCCCTGGTGTGGCTGTACGAAGAGTTCCAGAGGCTGACTTGTAGCCCCGTTCCCAGCAGGCCAACATGGTCCTGAAAGAAGCCAGAGAAGAGCACTCCATTAGGCCTGGAGCCTCAGCCTCAGCACTGACCCCTCCACTTGATGAGTCCTGCCTGCTAGTCCTGGAACGATGGGGACAGGCTCAGAGTGAAGATGTGCACTCTACATCACCCTGGCATCGCTGCCCTGTTTGCTTATTCCTGGCCAGGTAGGAGGATTACTTCTAGGACCCGGATGGGGTTATGGTGTGAAGGAGGTGGTGCCACTGTGTTGTCTGGGAGCTGGCTTCTCCTTCTCGAGAACCAAAGATAAAGCTCGGCACCACCACATGCTTGTAATCCTAGCTACTGAGTAGGCTGAGAATTGCAGATGGAAGCCAGCCTGGGCAGGAAAAGAGGGAGACTCTTAATCTCTAAATAACCACCAAGAAGCCAGAAGTGGAGCTGTGGCTCAAGTAATAAGTAGATGACCATCCTTGAAAAACTAAATTTGAACACTGTCCATTCCAGGCCTCAAGTTCAAGCCCCAGGACCAACACAAAGTGTTGGGTTCCACCCCTTTAAACACACAGCACTCCTATACTCCTGCCCAGGAAGAGTCTGTAGCCTGACAGCTTTGCCGCTGAGCAAGCTGTGAGATTAAACAGGACACAGAATGTTGGGCTGAGCACACAATAACTCAATCATTTCTGTAGTCTAAATTCAGGCCTGTACACCTACTGCAGTGAGTCACTGGGTAGGTATTGGCAACAGTAGAGTTTGACTGCTGTCTTGTCTTGGAGCAGCCTGAAGCTGACCAGATCTTTGCCACAAGGCAGTGTCCAAGTGGGGATTCTCAGCCTCATTCTCAGTCAGACCTGTGTCCTACAGTGCTGGGTGTCTTTAGGGGAGAGCCCAGGGTAGAGTTCCCCAGTCTGCAGGATGAAGACATCCTGCCTCCTAAGCTGAGCTTGTGAGGTGCATGACTCTTAGACATCAACTGGGGCCTAACAGCCCTGTGGCCTAGGCTCAACTATTTGGGAGGCTGAGGTAGGGTGACTGCTTAAGCCCAGGAGTTTGAGGCCAGCTTGGGCCTAAACATAAAATCAAACCCCCAAAACCTAAGAGGTCCAGCTGAGAACATGTTTGCACAATGCTGTTTGCTCAGTGCTCACAGGACCAGAAGACCCTCCGCTTATCCATCTCCTGGGGTTCCAGGTCCTGGACATCATGGCTCCATGGAGGCTGGTCTGTGTGCACTCTATTTCCCCCACCAGCTCATCACCCAGTGGTGCAGTGTCTGACTCCCAGCCCAGCCACCAATCCAGTCTCTGCTCCTGGTTTGTTGTTGCTAGTTTTGTTATTGTTAGTCGTGGGGCTTGAACTCTGTCCCTCAGCTCAAGGCTAGCACTTGAGCTACATTGCCACTTTGGGCTTTGTTTGAGGAATCGAACCCAGGGCCTCATGTATGCAAGGCAAGTGCTCTACCACTGAGCCACCTTCCCAGCCCGTCACTACCTGTTCTTTTCTGTCTCCTCTTCCTATTCCTTCAGTCTCCCTCCAGTCTCCCATCTCCCTCCCACATCTATCCTCTGTTGGAATTTCCCCCTCCCTTTCTCACCCTCTGTTTTTCCCTCTCCACGTCATCCTCCCACATCTCTCCTCTCCCCTACCTCCATTCTCCCCTCACCCTCGCCTCCTTGTACTAGGGGCGGCACTCAGCCCTAGGTATTTCTCCTAAGAATCACATAAGACTTCCTGCTTTGAGCAAGCTGAATCGGAAGAATCTTAGGTTTGAGACCAACCTGGACAAGTTTATTTTCAAGAGAGGAAACTGGAATGATGTAAACTGACTGGGTGGGAGACAGACACAAAGAAGGGCTGTAAACACCTCCTAACAAAATCAATGCCAGTGGCCAGAGGAGGCAGCCAGGGTGAGCAGCTGGAGCAGAGGCTGAGCAGACATGGTCCCCACGAGGTCTGGGGCTGGTGGGACAGTGCTGTGTGTACGCGTCTCAAGAGCCGTCATGCTGTTCATCACCACTACCCATGCCTTCCTACCAGGAATGGCAGACAGGAACAGGATGGGAGCAGGGAACCCCGGTACTTCCATGGCCGAGGGAAGGAAATGGAAACAGCACATAGTGAGCTCCAGTACGCCACCGCTCTCCCAGCCCACACGAGTGTGGCGACTCGCACTCATGGCTACCTTCACCCTACCACACGTGCTCCCTGGAACTTTAAGCCAAGTGCTGTCATTTGTTCACATCACTTGGTTGAGGAAATAAAATACTGTTAAAAATTACAGGTGGCCAAAATTTTGGAGTAGCCTCTTTTTGGGCCCCAACAGAGACCAAAAGTGGGGTCAAATGTTCCTCATCACTAAGTGGAATGCGAAATATAGGAAATGCCAGCTCTCAACGAAATTCCCTCTGCAGTAATCCTTCTCAAACCAGTCACCTAGAGCATCTAAATCCATTTTCCTATTCTAAGGAAGTTGCTTGGAAATCAGATTTCTTTCCCTCTTTTGTCTATAAAATCAGCCCCTTCTGCTTAGCTTGTTGGAATATTTTATGCAATAAAGTTGTCTGATTCTAGACTAGCAAACAGCCAGTTAGGACCTTTAAATGTGTTGTAATTGTCCTTTGGCAACATATAAATGGAACGTGGTGTCACAACCCCCAGCTGGGCACGGTGACAGACGCACACAGGTTCACCTACCTGCACACTGCGGTTCTCATCCTGTGGCTGGCCTGCATCATCTTCAGTGACACGCACTTCACTGGCAGGGTTCACGCACCTGAGGGGAAGAGACCAGGAAGATGAGGGACAAAGATGAAAGAACAGGCTACAAGGACCTCACAGCAATACTGAGTATTTTGAGGCTCCTGGGGACACGGGTCTTGATGTGATCCAGTCATCCCCCAGCTGAAGCGCAGCCCACGGCCACCCAGCTCACACAGGGCTGGGGGACTGCCATCTAGTGGTACTCCACCCTCAGGTATTTACCTATCAAGAGCAGCCCAAAATGTCAGGGCTATTATGAAGACAAAATGGTATGTGGCATAGGAAAACAGCTGCCCAGCCACGAGTGCAGGACAGCCTGAACTGCTCCCCTTCCTTCTCCAGGGCTGGGGGTCTCGGGTACAGCGCTTGTCTAATATGCATAGGCTGCATAGGCTCGAAGCTGGATCTCCAGCACCACAGGGAGAAGTAAAAGGCGGACTTCATCAACTCAAGGTTCTCTTGGCACTGTGAGGACAAGGACACTGCTCAGCTGGGAGACGTCCTCAGCTCAGCTCCTCTCCCATCTGCAACACTGAGCCACGCAACTCATCCAGGCAGACAAATACCTTTGTCATTACTACCCCGAAAATAAGATAAAAATTTGAGCCAGGCTCATGCCTGTAATCCTAGCTGAGGCTGAGATCTGAGGATCACAGTTCAAAGTAGCCTGGGCAGGAAAGTCTGGGGCTTAAAAACTCAGGCATTCTTGCTCATGGTTGGTGGTTGGCAATCTACTACCACTTAAACCACATCCTCAATCCTAGCTTTCTCTTGGATCATTTGATCAAAGAGTTTCTCGACTCTGCCCTTAGCTGGCTTTGAACCTCAATCTTCAAACCTCAGGCTTTTGAGTAGTAAGGATTGTAGATTTGAGCCACCAGCTACTGTGGTATTTGATTTAAAAACAAATCCAGTTGTTTGCTGCAGTTATGTAAAGATAAAACTGAGTTTCGCAAGTTGGCCTTGGTAATCATTAACTTTAGTTTTGAATTAAGATTTCCCGAGCTGGGCACGGTAGCTCACACCTGTAATCCTAGCTACTCAGGGGGCTAAGATCTGAGGATTGTGGATCAAAGCCAGCCTGGGCAGGAAAGTCTATGAAACTCTTATCTCCAATTAACCACCAGAAAACCAGAAGTGACACTGTGGCTCAAGTGGTAGAGCACTTACCTTGAGCTGAAGAGCTGAGGGATGGCGCCCAGGCCCAGAGTTCAAGCCCCACGACCGACCAAAAAAAAAAAAAAAAGACTTCCTCCAAACACAAAGGCACAATCCCCTGGTGCCTCTCTCTGATCCTATATTAAAAAATTTTTAAAAAAATCTGGATGCTGGTGGCTCACACCTGAAGATTATGGTTCAAAGGCAGCCTGGGCAGGAAAGCCCGTGAGACTCCTATCTCTAACTAACCACCAGAAAAAACAAGTGGTACTGTGGCTCAAAGTGATAGAGCTGCTAGCCTTGAACGAAAGAGCTCAAGGGCAACACCCAGGTCCAAAGTTCACACCCCATGACCAACAACAAAATTTCCTCCATCCATAATCATGTTCGCAAATAACGCTGACTGCAAAACAGTGATTTCCTATGAAACATTTTGTGGATCTAAAAACTTTAGGAATGTTACCTGTTTGACTTGGGAAGATGTTCTGCTCTTACCTTTCAGACATTGCCTTTACCGCACTGCCTCTTTTTATTCTTGGCAGTACTGGGGTTTGAGCTCAGGGCCTTCTACTTGCTAGGCAGACCTCTACTACTCCTGGGCCACTCTGCCAGCCCTCTCCATTTTCTTTAGTCTTTTTGCTTTTTTTCCCCTTTGGTGTCACTGGGCACCAAACTCAGGCTTCACACGTGCTAAGCAAGCACTCTGCCGCTGCACAGGCCCACTAGGGTTCTCTGTAGTTGCACTGGTTTTTGTCCATGGTTCTTGGCTCCTAACTCCATCTCCAGGCAGGAAAGAAGGTCAAATTCTCTTGTCTAAGGCAGCCATAGAACTCACCGAGGGCCTGCACACACCCTGGAGGGAGCTGGGCTGCCCAGGAGGCCTCGGCTACTGAAGCAGACCTCTGTGGTTCCCCCCCAGCGCCCATCTCCATAAAAGCCCCAGACAGCTCCCTCCATGCCGGCAGGTGGCACACCCTAACTTCAAGAGACCCTTCCAGACCTCGACGTACCTCTTCACCTAGCTCTTTTGTATCTTCAGAATAAAGCAGTAAACATAAACCCTTCGTGTGTCCTGAGTTCTGTAGCCACTCAAGCAGCTGGCCACAGGAACTTCCACCTGTAGCTGGAGTTGTAACAGGTCTGGAGAGGGCAGTCTAGGGGGCTGAGCCCCGGGGGGGGGGGTAGACACTGTCACAACTGACCCTCAAGATTGGAGGACACCCAGCAGCTGCTGCCTGCCCCTTCCTGGCTTCTGCTGGCTGTGGTGGGCTTTTCCTACTGGCCCTGTCCACAGGGTTTTCATCCTAGAACATGTTAAATATGTGTCCACCCCTGAGCTACACCCTCAGTCCTATCTAAAAACAGCTTGACTTCCTGGCTCGGCTGGCACTTGTCCACTTGAGCCATGTCTCCAGTCCTGCTATTTGCTGGTCATTTTAGAGATGGAATCACATGGACTTTTCTGCCTGGGCCTGCTTAGAACCTCTCTGGAGCTCAGCCTCCTTAAAGTAGCTAGGATTACAGGCAGGAGCGCCAGCACCTGGCTGTAGCCTGCATTTTTAGTAATTTTCAGCGGACTCCAGTGTCAAACTCGGGAGTCTGAGGGACTTCCCACAGCAGTGCTTCCCAGTGTTGGCGGCCACAGCACACGGTCACACACGCCTTTCAAACTGTACCTGAATGGCAGCTCGGAAGCCTGTCCCTGCAGCAGATTTAATTTTTGGACATGGCGTCTGCAGTCAGCACCAGAGCCCTCACCGTAGGTCTGAGAAGGAAAAAACACCCATGAAACAGATCACTGACGTGCCTGAGCCTCAGAGAGGACGAGTAAGTCCTGCCAGGCCCGGCACGTCCCAGGCAGTATGACTGTGATTTCTAGAATGTTTATCAATGAATGGGCTCTGAAACTGTGGTTCAGCTTGACCTGGCTGCCCTTGAACTCTGCCTATCAAATCCATACTCCACCCACAGCCCCACACAAAATGGTTAATGGACATGAATGAATAGAAAGGTCACAAGAGAAGCACCAATGATGTCAACACACAACAGAATACAATGGAAAGAATGCAAAACGACATGGCTTGGGGCAGCTGCTCATTTTGTTCCATCTATGTTTACTGAGCACCTACTGGCACGGGAGCCACGCGCTGCTCTACATGTGGATGCCACACAGCAGCGGACAGAAGTCCCCGCCATGGAGCTCACACCCAGACACCACAAGCCCGTGAAAGGGCTTCACAAGAAGGGGGGGGGTGGACACATTTTGTGTCCCCCCAAGGTGACACTTCAGCCACAAACAGGAAGACACTGCTTGGCTCCCGCCTGTAATCCTGGCTACTCAGGAGGCTGAGATCTGAGGATCACAGTTTGAAGTCAGTCCAGGCAGTAAAATCCTTAAGACCCTTGTCTCCAACTACCCATCAAAAAGCCAGACGTGGATGGAGTAGTGGCTCAAGTGGTAGGCACTATCTTTGAGTGAAAAAGCTAAAGGGACAGACCAAGTTTAAGCTGCAGTACCAGTGTGCCGGGCGTGCACCTATACACACGCTCTAGGAAGACCATTCCAGCAGGCACAGGGCCTGGCCCTGGGCTGCCGCTGGTCTGGTGGCTGAGTCTTCCCTATAAGGGAATGGATTTTTTCATCTTTTTTTTGTGTGTGCTGGTCTTGAGGCTTGAATTTAGAGCCTGGGTGCTCCACCACTCAGCCGCCTTCCCAGCCCTTCAACTCTGTTTTTGAGGTGAGCATCACCAGGCTCCCCAGCCTGGCCGCTTGAGTACAGGGTGACAGGCTTATGTGCAAACACATTGGCAATGCAATCCCCCTTCTGGGCAGTGCTGGGGATTGAACTCAAGGCCACACACTTGCTATGCAGGCTCTCTACCACTTAAGCCACACCCCCAGTCCCTTTTTGCATTGGTTAATTTTGAGGTCAGGTCTTGCTTTATGCCTGAAGCCAGTCAAGGCTCCAACTCTACTTGTGCTTCCCGTATAGCTTCGAGTGACAAGTGTGAGCCACTGTGCCAGTCATAGCTCTGTAGCTGGGCTGACGGGAGAACACCACCACCCGACAACTAGCTCCTAACCACTAAGCCTGAGCTGGTCTCCAGCTGTGATTCTGATCTCTGCCTCCCCAGGAGGTAGAGTATAGAATTGAGACACTGCACCTGGTCCTTTGCATTCACCAGCTCAGCATCAGGGATCTTACCAATTGCAAATGGAAATACTTGACAAAAGACCCGCCTCATCTCTGCTAAGCATGTGCACGCTCCTTTATCTTTTAAGTAATCCTTAAAAGGGGCTTTAACAGGGCTGGGAAGGTGGCTCAGTGGTAGAGTGCTTGCCTTTCAAACATGAAGCCCTGGGTTCGATTCCTCAGCACCACATAAGCAGAAAAAGCTGGAAGTGGTGCTGTGGCTCAACTGGTAGAGTGCTAGCCTTGAGCTGAGGGACAGCGCCCAGGCCCAGAGTTCAGGGCCCACAATGGTCAAAAAAAAAAAAAAAAGGGAGGGGGGAAACTAACAAATTAGGCTATGAGTATAATGCATCTTGATCTAGTCATGATTTAATGCTCACTGGAGGTGGTAGGGGAGACTGAGGCAGAAGGACTGTGTGAACTCAGGGGTTCAAGACCAACCTGGGCCCCATAGGGGGGCCCTTGCCATTTTGTACTCCACGCTCACCCTCAGAGGAGCACGCTGGAGGACACGGATGGGTTACACCATTGCATACATGATTTTGGTGTCTACTGGTGAGGAACCTAAGCAACTCCATTTTTATTTAACACCCCATCTCAGTTCTATGACTTGACTCATGACCCACTTTAGCCCCAATGCCAGGAATTTAAGACAGAAAGCCATGCACAAACAATTCTTGGAGCCATAGGTGGCATTTGCTTGAGGCAGGTGATTGCCCGAGTGACTTAGGGCTAAAAGTTTCAGTTAAAACCATATAATGGCCCAACCAACCGGTTCCGAGCTCAGGGTGAAGCATGCCATGTATATTGTTGGACTATGTGTGACTCATAACCATTTGTGGTCAAGCTATGGAACAAGGATATTTTTCTGTAAAGGTCAACCAATCATATTTGCCCAGCTTAGTGTGCTTTAAATGTTAACCAATCATGTATTTTTTTCATGTAAAAGTTCCTTAAAGTCGTTTGTTTAATACTATAAAAACTGCGCTGATTCTATGCTTGGGGCCTCTTAGCGTCACCGGTTACCGAGTGCGCAGAGGACCAAGCTCGAGCTTGCAATAAATGACTCTGCTGCTTGCATCGATCTTAGTCTCTGGTGGTCTTTTGGGGGTCTCCATACTCTGGGTACTACACTGGGCATCCAGGAACTGAGGCTGCACGGGTACCATCATTTGAGCATTTTTGTGTTTTGCTAGCGAAGTACCAAGGGGCAAAGAGGCATTCTGTGAGCCAAGGAGACACTGCACCTGCCCCTCTGCCTGCCAGGTCATTTGCACGCAGCCAGAGCGCCCAGGGCACAGTCAGGTGTGTGCTTTCCACGTGGACAGCAGGGGCACACAGGAAAACCAGCCAGAAGCCACTCCTCCCCTCCCTCCTCACCATCAACCGGGAAGCCCTGGAAGGGGGCGCTGGGGGGTTAACTCCAACACAGAGGGCCTTCCAGCCCAGAGCAGCTGGCAGTGACCAAGATGACAGGGAGGGTGGTGTGCACCAAGAAGGGGTGGTGGGAGGGGATGGAGAGGAAGGGAGGACTAAAAACAGCTGCGCTCAATTTGTGCTGCCTTCCCAGTGCGGTTTGCAGGCAGACGAGCTGTGAAATGTGCACCAAACACTCCTGTGCTTCTATTTAAAACTGCCACTGCACAATACAAAGATGCAAAGCAGATTTCATCTTAATTGGATGTTGGCCTTTTTTTTTCTTTTTTTTTTTTGTCGGTGGTGGGACTTGAACTCTGGGCCTGGGCGCTGTCCCTCAGCTCTTCAGCTCAAGGCTAGCGCTCTACCACTTGAGCCATAGCATCACTTCTGGCTTTTTTTCCCCTGCTTATGTGATACTGAGGAATCGAACCCAGGGCCTCATGCATGCAAGGCAAGCGCTCTACTACTGAGCCACCTTCCCAGCCCAGTTTTTCAAATTCTTTTTTTGGTCGGTTGTGGGGCTTGAACTCTGGGCTTGGGCGCTGTCCCTTAGCTCAGCTCAAGGCGAGCGCTCTACCACTTGAGCCACAGCACCACTTCCAGTTTTTGAGTGGTTTATTGGAGATAAGAGTTTCATGGACTTTTCTGCCCAGGCTGGCTTTGAACCATAATCCTCAGATCTCAGCCTCCTCAGTAGCTAGGATTACAGGCCTGAGCCACCAGCGCCCAGCTCAAATTCTTTATTGTGATTAAGTGGTTACATAATTTCCCACATTTCACAGTACTGTGGGACAGTGATGCTTAAAGTCACAAACACATTCTAACTTTCATGGGGCAAATTGTCTATCATGGTCAATAACATGTATGAGTTCTATCAGCTTTGCAATACAGTTATTTCTTCCACATTGGGTGGTATGTACATTTCTTTTGTTTTACATAGCACCAGCTGTTCCCTCTTTCCCAGAGATTTTTGTTTTTTGGCCAACCCTAGGACTTGAACTCAGAGCCTGGGCACTGTCCTTGAGCTTCTTTTGTTCTAGGCTAGCACACTCCTTGAGCTGCAGTGCCACTTCCAGCTTTTTCTGTTTATGTGTATGTGGTACTGAGGAATCAAACCTAGGGCTTCATACATCCTAGGCAAACACTTACCAATAAGCCACATTCCAGCCCATGTTGGCCTTTTTTTTTTTTTTTTTTGGTGGGGGGGGGTCCGGTTGTGGGACCTGAACTCTGGGCCTGGGCGCTGTCCCTCAGCTCTTCAGCTCAAGCCTAGCACTCTACCACTTGAGCCACAGCGCCACTTCCGGCTTTTTTCTTTTTGCTTATGTGGTGCTGAGGAATCGAACCCAGGGCCTCAGGCATGCAAGGCAAGCGCTCTTCCACTGAGCCACCTTCCCAGCCCCATGTTGGCCTTTTCTTAGGAAGACATTAAACAGGGCATTTACGATGTCAGGGAGCCTGTGGGGCAGTAAATGCCTGTAATCACAGCCCTTGGTAGTTGTTGCCCAGTTTGGGCTACACAACAGAAAGTATCAAGGGCTTGGGGGGGGCGGGTGTAAGGCACTGAGTTAAATCTCCTCCCCACTAAAATGATGCAAAGTCAAAAGAGCATTAAAGGCTTTTTGGGGTGCAGTGCTGGGGATTAAATCCAGGGCCTTGCATATGCTAAGCACATGCTTTACTGCAGAGCTACTGCCGTCCATTTCTAGTGTGTTTAACCTTGAGCAGCCTGCTTGTTAAATATAGGACCTACCCCCCCCCCCCCCGCAGGCTCGCACTAATGGGGTGTGGTTGCTCAAGCTTTCAGGAATTGAAAGTGACCTAATGCATGGTTTAATCCAAGATGCATTCAAAATCTGAGGACTACTGGGAGGCAGCGATGGGCGGCAGTGGAGGAAGGTCCCTGGGGCACGCGTGTGGGGTTACTTCCTGGCCTGGTTCCCTCAGCTGCTCCTGCTCCAGGACCGGCCACCCCTGAACTGAGCTAAAATCAATCTTTGCCCCTTTATGTGTGTCAGGTACTTTGCCACTACAAAGAGAAAACGAATGCAGCATCCCCACCTTCAATATGCACTGCCACCCCCTCCCCCATATGGCTTATGCTGGGAAGAGACCCTGCAGCTTGGTTTCCCTTCCTCATGGAGACATGTCAAAAAAGCAGCAGGCTGTGCTGTGCCTGCCCAGCTGAGTGGCAGTCCCAGCCGACTGGACCGAACACGAACGTGTTTTGATAGGCATCTGTGGGGGCCAACCAGGTGGCTCCTCCCAGGACTTCACAATTGGGTATCAGCCATTTCAGCTGGTGTAGAGGAGTTTCTGTGGGTCCCAAGCAGGGTATGGTGCTGTAAACTCTCCAGGAGAAACAGAGAAGGAGAAGAAAAGGCAGGAGAGACACAGGGAGAAAGTGAACGAGAGACGGGGTTAGGGGACAGGATGAAGCTTGTCTGCATCTCTTCTTGGGGAGGGGGGGCTGAGACTAGGGTCTGAACTCAGGGCTGCACTTTCTCGCTTCATCTGCTTGCTTATGGCTGGTGATCTACCACCTGAGCCATGCTCCAGTCTGGTACTCTGCTGGTTACCTACAGATGAGTTTCCACGGTTTTTCTGCCTGGTCTGGCTTTGAACTGCGATCCTCTAGGTCTTAGCCTCTTGAACAACTAACTAGGTTTGAGTCACAAGTGCCATTTTTTATTTTTGTTTTGTTTTTTTCTTTCTTTGAAACAGGGCCTGTAGGTAAGCCCAGGCTTTTCTTGAACTCATAATCCTTCTGCCTCAGCCTCCTAGTAGGTAGTATTATAGAGATGCATTTCCACACTTGGCTAGTTTTTCAGGTGTTCTATTTTTTCTTTAAATTAGCTTACATATGAGTTATATGGGAGATTTAATTACCATATTTCACATATGACACTGATTTCCAATCAATCTCACTCCTTCTACCACTATCGCTGCCTCCCCTGCCCCCCCCAAAAAAAAACAACAACAAACCACCTCTCCAAATAGGTGTCACTGTCCATTTTCATACTTGCAAATAACCTGTTTGGAGAGTATTCAAACTCCTTCATTCTCCATACCATCAGGAGTTCTGGTCTGATTGGTCAGAATCTCACTTTGTAGCCCAGGTTAGCCTGGAACCCTATGTGGTCCAAGCTGGCCCCAAACTTGTGTTTCAGCCTTCTCAGTTTTTTTTTTTTTTTTGTCGGTCGTGGGGCTTGAACTGTGGGCCTGGGCACTGTCCCTCAGCTCTTCAGCTCAAGGCAAGCGCTCTACCACTTGAGCTACAGCGCCACTTCCGGTTTTCTGGTGGTTTATTGGAGATAGGAGTCTCACAGTCTCTCCTGCCTGCGGGGTGGCTTTGAACCACAATCCTCAAATCTTAGCCTCCTGAGTAGCTAGGATTACAGGCGTGGGCCACCAGCGCCCGGCTCCTCCTCAGTTTTTTTATGGTGTGTTACTGAGGATTGAGCCTCACATTTTCTAGGCAGGCACTCTATCACTTGAGCCATGTCTCCAGCCCGACTCTGCGCTGGTTATTTCCAGGTAGGTCTCACTGTATGCCCAGAGCAGCCTGAGTTGTAAGTCCTCCTACTTGTGCTTCCCTGTGTCGCTGAGTGACAGGTGCAACACTGCCCTGCCTCTGGAGGCCTTGCCCTGGCCTCAATTTCCTGATCTCCATCTCCCAAGTAGCTAGGACTACAAGGCTGGGGGAGTTCTGCCCTGGGACCCCGATACCCTATATAATGTTGACAGCCTTTTGGTTTTTATTTGCCAGAAGCCGTTCTGACATGTTTTTGGCTATTAACAGTAACTAAAAGAACCTGGGTGGGGGTGCATTGCGAGGACACCTGCAGACCCGGTGCAGAGGACCCAAGGCCAAACACAGTTATCACCAACCAACCAACCAGAACCTTAATGGGAAAATACCTCTAAAGCCACTCCACTTCTAGGACTTTGTCCTAAGGACACAAACAGCTGGTTGAGTGAACAAAAGGGCAGTTGAAAAAGTTTCACTGTTGCAGCTGCCTGGCACGCCCAAGGCCCTGGGTTCAATCACCACCACCATAAAAGGCTTTGCTGCAGTTGTTCATCACAGTGAAGACCCAAATCGACCCAGCGATGCGGGCCTGGGCTCTTACTCAACACTTAAGATCAAGCACTTAGGAGGCGGTGGTGCTAACTAAGAGCTGAAGGAACATCCCCAAAGAAACTAGGCGGAGCCTCTGCTGCCATGGAGACAACGCTCACACCAACACAGCCACATGCAACTTCCAATCAGCACAAGAAGAGGGGGAGCCCCCAGGGATTACAGAGGCCCTAAAAGAAAGTGGGCTTGGATAGTTTCAAAGAGAATGATGGGGGCACAGGTGAGAAAGACGGGGTCAGGAAAAGAACCCAGCAGAAGGGACGCGGGCAACATGAATCAGGAGAGTTTGGTTGGGTCAGAAAGATGCCGATGTGTGCCAGGCAATCTACAGATTTGCTCCACTTCCGCACCTGCTCTCCCCATCCCCCCAGCTGCCATCCAACAGCCTTCCGCTGAGCCCACTATGCCTGGCTTCTGTTACCTTTCTACCTGATGTCACTTTCCTTTCATGGTACCGAGGCTACTTTTAAATTATATGCTTGCGTGTGTGTGCAAACACACGTGTGTCCAACACTATTAGTGTTCTTTGCAGGCTCTGCTCCATGCATTTCCACTGGTGAAGGGGGAGGGTGGGAACGGAGGGAGCAGGAGCTGTCTGGGCACTTCTGGGAACTCACCCGTAGGAAGGACTGTTTCTCTCCACAAGCCTTGCACGTCCATTTCAGACTCTTTTTCACCTGAAATGAAATTGCAGAAATAAAGCTGGGAGCAGGTGGCTCATCCCTGTAGACCTGGCTAATCAGGAAGCTGAGGACTGTGGTTTGAAGCTAACTAGGGAGTGTGACTCAAGTGCCAGCCTTAGAGAAAAAATAAATAAAAAATCAAGCAAGAGGGAGAGGAGGCCCTGAAGTCCAAGCCCCAGTATCCGCACAAAATAAAAAGGAAAAAAGAAACACTCTAGAAATACAACTCAGACAATTATACAAAACTAACAATTTTGCTACATGGTGGATTTTATGAAATACTGGTGGGGGTCCGTGGCTCCTGCCGGGAATCCTCCCTACTCAGAAGGCTTAGCTCTTAGGATCGTGGTTTGAAGCCAGCCCGTGCAGGGAAAGTCCATGGGACTCTCTAAAAAGTCAAAGCGGAGCCGTGGCTCAAGTGCTGCATCGCCACCCTTGGGCCCAAAGAGATTCTAAGGCGCAACAGCATCGACAGAAACGTGGTGGGATACACTCCGGCATCCCAGAACTCGTGAGGCCGAGGCAGGGGAGACCCTGGGCTCCGGGGAAAGATCCCATCTTCTACCAACAACGCAATCGACTGCCGTGTTTGGCACGCGCGAGGCGTCCGCGGGGCGGGGCGTCCGCGGGGCGGGGCGTCCGCGGGGCGGGGCGTCCGCGGG